TTAGGAAGGGACTCGGGCCAACAGAAAGCATATAAAAGATACAGGAATTAATTGATGGCATCCTACGAGCTTCCACTTGCCGTAAATTAAAATACAATATTGTTTAACCAAAAATTTTAGCTCCTAATAAACTTGTCTAACAAGTTCTTGTAGCAGATTCAGATAATGACTTATATTCTTCCTGAAATAATGTGTTACTAGGATTACTTCCACCTCATGCAGATGCTTGAGGCTCTGGGGATTTTGTTATTGTAGCACTGAGATTAGATTTTGATCTTATCCTCTAGCTGAGTACAATAAGTGTAATGCACATGTATCTCCTGGTGGTTCTTGTATTGCAAGTTGCTACACGTAGATTATAGGCAGCTACACCTACTTGTGCGAACATCCTGAGGCTGAAGTATTTTCTCTTCCCTCACTTCACAATTTGTATTGGCCTGATGATTGTTTCCTAGCACTTCCCTTTATTGAGGGGATCAGACTAGAACGAGCCAAAGGTGTTCCCAAGCATGGTAACTTGGTTCTGTAACCTCTGCAGTCTTCTCCCAGAAACCCTGGGTCACTTAGGCAAAAAAATTTGTTGGAAACACTTTCTTTTTTCTGGCAGCTGCTCTTGATGTGCAATCCCCTCCAGGAATCTGTGGCTTGTTCTTGTACCTTCCTTCTCTGCCAAATGGTGCCTTTAATAATTCTAGTTAATATGAGACCAAAACAAGGCTGAGAAGAAAGCAAGTATCTGAGGCATTTATTTCGTAACAAGAAGTAATTGATATGTGAGAACAGATTGTAAGAGCTATGTACATACATCTTAGTTAAGAAACAACTATGAGGTACAAGGAAGGAACCCAATTAAATGGGATATAAATAATAATGTGATGACATTTAATGGAAGGAAACTTTAGGTTGCATATTGAGAAACATTTTATCAGTGACCACTAGTGTCAAATTTAAACTCCGAATGTTAAAATTCGGTTAAATAGGTAACCGTGTAATAGGGATGTCAATGTATAGACGACTACATGGTAAACCAATAAGCCTGGGTTTATCGGTTAATCTTGTTGTCTACGTGCCCCCACCTTTCCTCCCCTTGCTGCCTCTGTATCGGAGCAGGAGTTAGTGCCCATGAGGGGGTGGCTTGAAAGCCATCTCCCTTCAAGCACTAGATCTGCCTCTCTCTCCCCTTCTTCTCCCCCCCCCCCCTCTCCTCCCAACCCTGCTCTACTGCCTCTGATAGAGAGGCAGCAGCAGGGAGGGATGTGGGCAGGGGAGGCTGCCGCAAAACTGCCTCTGTCCACGGTGGCCCTGGCTCTCTTTGGACAGAGGCTGCTCCATGGCAGCAGCCCCTTGTTCGCAGGGGGTCCAAGCTCCCGCAGACAGGAATTGCTGCCATGAAGCAGCCTCTGTCTGCCGGGAGCTTGGACCACCCAAGGATAAGGACTGCTGCTGGGGAAGCCACCAGTGTCCATGAGGGGCTTGGGCAGCAGGCAGGAGCCAGTACGCACTGGAAGCTTATTTTTAAAGTGGTTCCCCTCGCGGACAGGCTCCCACCTGCCACCCTGAGCTCCTGTCTCCAATAGAGAGAAAGCAACGCAGGGTAGCAGGGGGCTTCCTGTGAGCGGGCTCAGAAGGACACTGGCTGCCAGCCATGCCCCGGGGACTATCGGAGAGTTGTGTAACCACTAATGTTTCATGCAGTTACACGGCTATCGAACATCCCTACCCTGTAACCGCTGAAGAAATCTTCAGCAGTTACGTGGTTACACGTTGCAGGCTTTAACGTTTAAATGAGCTTTTATACTACAGAGCCCGCAGCAAAGCCTCCCTGGGATTTGGGGCCACCAGCCTCTGCTCTTGGGGAGGCAGCTTCCCTTCCCTGTTGCAGCAAAGCCACCTCCCCACTGACTAATCAGCACCATTAAACAGTTATACAACCGCACTCTAACGTCCCTAATTTAAACCTAAGGATAAAAATTGGCCAATAGAGAGGCAGTCCTCTGTTGAGATGGTTCTTCCATAGAGCCTAAGTTGCATAATAGGTTATATTGTCTCCTTTCACATAAGAACAGCCATGGTGGTCAGACCAAGGGTCCACCTAGCCCAGTATCCTGTCTTCTGTCAGTGGCCAGTGCCAGGTGCCCCAGAGGGAGTGAACAGAACAGGTAGTCATCAAGGGATGATCCCTCTCCTGTCGTCTATTGCTCATACATTTACACTTAGATTATACTCATTAATGCCTGACCGGGCTCGCCAAGTTGTACAAGTTGTCCTTGAAATCATTTGCATTATACCAAGGCAAAGGAGGATGGATCCCCACCTTCTGGCCTCCCTTTTCCTCCCGTTTACTGTTGCCCCCGTGAAGCCAAATACCATTTTAAACAAATACTTGAAGCTGGTTCCAGGGCGCACACTTTTCCTCTGTCTGTAAAACATCCTTTCCTCTGTTAGTCACTACGTGTCTGTCACCAAGTAAAGATTATTGTGAAGAATGGTGGCTGTGCAATGACTTGAGAGTGTGAGGGAGAGAAAGTAACCCTGATGCTGTCACTGAAGTGCATTAGCAAGAGTCAGTATATCTTCAGCCAAGATAAACAACATTTTAGCTTTTCTGTGGTCCACTAAGAGAGATGAAATCTGGTGTGGTAGGCTTTTTATTTATTGTCAAATAGTTATACACTCTGTCTGAATAGCCTTTCAGAAACAGAAAATAATAAAAAAAACCAACCCCTCCCACACTGAGCAGCTAACTCCCTGGGCTGGAGAACGCTGAGACAGTGTTTGTGGGCATCAAAGTGTGTCACAGGAAATTTGCTTTAGAAAAGTGCAGTTAAGCCACTTTCTTTCCATTTTTCCCAGCATTTAATCTGTCTAGCATTTTTGTTAAGCTGATACTTTATTCCCTGTGTTGTTACACTCTGGAGGAGGGAGTAGTTATTTGGTGAAGTATTGAGGCATGGAGGAGGCAGAGGGAACAGAGAAATTAATCCTTTTCTGGGTAGCATATGAGAAGTAAGGCGATACATTGATGTCTGCCTGCAGTAGCTGTGTCAGGTAGACTGTGTGGCCTGCAGGAGTTCAAGAATTTGGCCCTCAGCTTCCGTCATCGCCAGTATGGAGATAATGTACAGGGGGACACTCTTCATCCAAATGGAATTCCACCCTGCAAAAGTTGGAACCTTTTATCTCACAATATAATGGGATCTGTAGTGTCAGCATCCTGTACCTCTATGTTGAAAACAAAGGTAGCTCCATTGTCTGATCATCATACTTCTGGCAAGAAGCTAGTTCAGTCTTCTGGCAAGAAGCTAGTTCAGTCTTCATTTGGACAGAGAACACTGTAGAGTTCTGCACAATTAAATTGTAACATAATCTTGTCAAAGGGAGATTTATAATGTGAAAGTCATTGTACATTTTACAGCAGTTAGAATGAAAATCAACACAACTCTTTGTACGCCTGGAATTTAAAAATATTAAAATGGATTTCTGTTTGTATTATCTGTATTTAAAAAAAAAAGTCAACTTAACATCATGTTTCAGTTTGGAGGAAGTTTATTCTCATATAGATGATGATCCTAAGTCATATTTTATGAACATAAGGGGATACTATGAAAATCTTGTCACACCCCTAACTGTAGATAGGAATTTTTTATGTGTTGTGTATTACATTACTGTATTATAATTCATATAAAGTGATATACAGGACAAGTGACTTTTGATGAAATAATGCAGGAGAATTCATGCAGTAGTTTCTGATATTTTTGAATTTAGAAATGGTTTTAGTAGAAGGCATTGGATATGTTCAGTTGATGTACCAATGCTTAGATCAGTGTTAAGCTGAGATTTTATTTTAACAGGAGCACAATCCCTATTGTGTGGCTGCAGGAGGGGGAGGGGCCTAGCTGATTCCTTCATGGGGACAGAAGCAGATTGGAAAGGGCAAGACTTCTAATCTGCTACTAAACCTAATTAATGTTTACCATAACTAGTGCTATAAATAGAATGCATGTGGCTTCTAGCTCTGGAACCATAATGAGGCCGAACTGAAATGCTGTTGGAGGGAAAGTTAGCCAGGGTTGTGTGGATCATACAGGAATACAAGTGATAGGCTTGTTGTTTCAGCACTCAGTGACAAACTTTTTATTGTGTTGTAAATAATTGAATTGTACAACGTCCTTTTTAGACCAAAAAACTAAAATCCTAATGGGAAGGAGAAAGACTTACAGATACTCTAGGATTTGTCTATTTTAAACATGTTTACCTCACTGCATCCTTTCAACCAGAATGATGGAGGAGTATCAGCCACATTTGTTGTCTTGTGCTAAAGTATCTCCTTGATCTATCGTGAAACACTTGGATGCACCTGAAATGTTTGGGAGGCCTAAGACATACATGATAGTGTTAAAATATGCTGCTTGTGTCTGGAATTGGCTATAGTTCTGTCTAATGGAACATATTTGACAGTCACAACTTCATGACATGGTGTCTAGCATATCACCACAGTATGTCTTAAGGTTTTGGAAGCTGCTTTTTTATTATTATTATTATTATTATTGCATTATATCATAATATCTGATGCTACAAAACAGTATCATAATGGGATGACTTAGTGGGCACCAAAAATAATATATTTTTGTAGGGTATGGGAAGGAATGGCAAACCTGGGAGGAGTCCAGGCAATTGCTGTCCGGATGACAATCTTCACGGACTGTAAGTTCCAGGTTATGATATTCCAGGCTTTTCTGAGCAATGGTGAGACTGTATATTCAAGATGAGGGCAGCTGAAATATGGTTTATTTTTATCAAACTTAGATGAAATCCTTAGTCATTTGGCATGTTTCCTGTAAAGTCCCTGGTTTGTACCAAGTTCGAAGGCCACTTGAAAATTGGTGAGAGGACTGGTAGGCTATTAGACATTAGGCAACGCTTTATGTGCATTAATGTCAATATGTTTAGCCTTAAAATCCATCCTCTTCCTTTTTTATTTTGTTTTCTTCTTGCGTTAGTGTGAACAGTCTCATCTAATGAGAGAGCATGAAGACGTACAGGAGCGAACAACACTACGCTATGAGGAACGAATCACAGAACTCCACAGCATTATTGCTGAGTTAAATAAGAAGATTGACCGACTACAGGGCACAACAATAAGGTATGTCAACTCCTGTGGAAGTTTGGGCCCAATTCAGAACTGGAATGCAAGGTGGTGTGTAATAATTGATCGTAAAAATGGTATAACTAGATTTGCTATGACAGAGATTCAGTGAGTGTGCAAAAATGAGTGTAGTGTATATACTAGGGAGTTGGGAACAAGGTACGTGTAGCAAGAAAAGTAATTTATAGAAGTATGTAAGGCAAAGCAACCCATTCCCCATCTCCCTTTATCTTTCTCCTATGCCATCCAAAACTCAACCAAGACTGAATTAATCCCATAATAGAGGCGAAACTAAAATTGGCTCGAAGACTTGCACCTTCTTGCCTCAGCAGTCCCCATGAAATGCAAAGTAAAGCAAATCAAGCTAATGTTGCATACTCAGTGAATGTCAGCATTTGGACACCTCTCTTTTAATACATTACTCAATTAGTACTAGCTAATTCTTCATGCAAGTTCTAGATTTCACCAAAAAGAAACATTCTTTTCATCCATCTGTCCATATCGGCTATTCTTAGCTTATTGTGGCCTTTTGCCATTACTTTTGCCATTACTTTGTGAAGGAGTTTGCTGTGACCTCACAAACTGTCAAGTTTATTGGGAACTTATCTTAGATTCTTGGCAAGTTAGGAATTTTAAACCTAAATACCCACTTGGAAAATAAAGAGTTCACATCTCTCTACAGCTTATACTTAAAATTTTCCCCATGTAGTAGTATGCAGTTTTTCTTGCTTATTTTCCTGCATGTTTTTCATTAATGACTTTTTTATTTTTGTCTCATATGTACTGGCTATTAAGCCAGGAGCCCTTTTGTTTAAATTGTATGTCCAGGAAAATATATGTGTGTAAAAGAGCAAACTGATGGATCTTAAATTATAGAAGGTAACAATATCCATAATTACAGCATAAAAATATAGTCACATTGTCCAGGTTGAAATTCCCTGATACGGGATTCTCTGGTACGGCAGCATCCTGAGAGCCCAGTGGCAGGGAGTGAAGCTGGGAGCGTGGTGGTTCAGGGCTGGCTGTGGAGTCAGAAGTTTTGCTTCCCAGAGGGCAGAGGATCCCGGCAGCCAGGAAGGGAGCCCGTCTGGGAGTGCCCAGACTCCATCAGCAGAGGGGCAAACTCACTCCTTCAGAACTGCTCCGGTCCTGCAGGTGCCGGACCAGGGAGGTTCAACCTGTATTAATATTGTTTGAAAGGGTAATATTGCAAATTCTGCAGTAGGTAAAGATGATGATAGGGTGCTAAATAATCTCATATTCAGTTTTCCAGAAGGTATGCCCTATTTTGAGAATGAAACTGCCCAAACTGTGTCCCACTCTGTAAATGGGCAAAGACAGGCTAAATAGTAAAGCATGGGAAGAGTCAGAGTTGCCAGGCTTTTCCCATCAAAGAAGGTTGATCGTGTATCAGAAAATGAAGGAAAAGAGTATAAAACTCATCACAGAAATGTTTGGACTGAGACCTTGAAACCACTAAACTAGAAAACATATTGAAATTATGGGATATTTTTCTTTGACAGATGCTGTAGAAGGTTAAAAGCATACATCTCCACACAAGATCAGCTTCAACATCCAGGGCAAAGTGAGACACAGATTTGAATCTGAAATGAGATGTACACTGCATCTTTGAAAGGATGCAAAGTGTGCATGTCCCTGAAGGCCTAAGTGTCTTCAGGGTCTGCCACTGTGACAAAGAACCTAGGCACAACCTCCATCCACTTGGCATCCTGTGTTAGTCCTTTGTGCTCAGATCCCTAGACAATGTTTCTTGCCACTTTTATTTGAATTGATTCTCCTGTTGTGGCAGTGATAAATATTTTGTAAGCAAAGAATTCTTTCTTTTTGCTTTTCTTTAATGCTCACATTGTAGCTAAGGTTTTCTGACAGAGAATACATTTTTTTTAAAAAATTGTGAACAACATGAGCTTAGAGAACTTCTGTTCCACTTCTAAAGATAGTGGGAAGAAAAAATTAATTCTTCACTCCTGTCATTTTCATATTTTCCTGTAACAACATATCAGGCTTCTTCTCTTGCCTTGCTTTATTGGAATCCTGCAGAAATGTAGGTTAATTAATGCCACGTACATTGGGACATGTGTGCCTTATTCTACTTTAACATGAACATGAGAGAGATTCTAAGAGAGGTCCTAGGAGCAACCTAAGGGTATGTCTACACCACACAACTTTTAGTGACAAGACTTTGTTGACACAGCCCTGTTGCTAAAATTCAGCATGTGTAAATGCTGTTTGTTGGCACCTTTGACAACAAAATACTTATCCCAGTGAACTGCTTTCATTTTGTTGGCAGCAGAGTATTCCTGCCAAAAAAGCAGAGTTCATCCTTGCCACAGCAAAACTTTCTCATTCACAAAGGGGAGGGTTTTAAGCACTCATGAGCGACAATAGTTTTGTTGATCATGTACAACTGTAGAGGTAGCCTAAGTCTGGGGAAAAGATTTAGGCCTTCTCTACATTACATCGTTTTGTTGACAAAAGTTGCCTTTTGCCAACAAAAGTGTATATAGAGTGCTCTACCAAAGCATCTTTACCTGCAAAACTCTGCTGTTTTGCTGACAAAATAAAACCACCTCGATGAGAGGCATAAACCTTTTTGTGGCAAAGTTAAGGTGACACAATGTCAGTGTACACTGTCGTTTATTATGTTGACATAACTGGCCTGCCCCCAGCATCCCACAATGCTGGCCACAAGTGCTCTGCTCGCTGTTTTGAACTTTGCTGCCCTGCATCCAGCTATGCAGGCCTGAGTCCGTCTCAAAGCTCCAGGAAGCTTTGACATTGCTCACTGAAGAGCTCTATGAGCTGCTCAGGCTGCTGCTCCTGATAGCTGAGGAGGCTGTGGTATAATTCAGTGCGAATCAGAACTATTAATGTGGAATGTTGCTCTCCCCGGCAGGCAGGCAGAGCAGGCTACTACTACATTGGGGAGAGGGAGTGGAGAGATTGCTCAAGCTTCTGTCTGATCTTAAATAGACAGAATGCTGACACCCGCTCTCCCCCAACATTCACACTTCCCAGCACACACTTTCCCTTTTTTGCACGCGTGCACACACAGTCACACAATTCCCCTTCACGCCTTCACATCCCTTGCTTCAATTGAAAAGCAGCTGACAATCTAGTAGGATGCCCATGAAGTGATGCTATTGAGAAACCTGCATCAGGTGACTCTGTAGTTGCTTCATGAGGCATTGCAAACCCTTCTCAAAACACTCTGCAGCCAGTTGCACATTGGAATAGCTACCCACAGGAAACTGTGCCAATACAAGAGCTACTTGTGAGGATGCAACAGCATAGTGTGGATATACAACAGCCCTTTAATTAGTGAATAACTTTTGATAAAGCTCGGTGTTGTCAAGAGAGACTTAGTTTATGCAGTTCTATTTTGCTATTATTTTTCGAGTAATAAAAATACTCAGGAGCAGGGAATCTTTTTATCACACACGCACACGCACACGCGCGCGCACACACACACACACAATATTAAAGTATTCCTAATGCTTCCAAATTCCACACAGAACAATGATACATTCCTTGTGAAATTACATGGTTGTCCGGCCATCATTCTTAAAGAAGTTACTTCATTCTGCTGAATTGCAGGGCAAATAAATGCATATTCTTGGTGCTGACATGGAAAAGTTGTAATCTGCACTTTTGGCTGATGTAGTATAGAAAGACTTGATTTACTGCTGTTTATGCCACTCTTAATGCTTCCTTTTAAATAAACCATCATATTATGTAGATTGTCAAGAGAGAGCCAAAGTTACACAGTAAATTTGATTGTCTAGAATCTTTAAATTATCCTTTTTTTGAGATTAGCAGTGCATGAGCAGCACAAGGTTTCAGTCTAAAACAAACAATTGCAACAGATTTACGGGAGTTAAGAGGATTGCAAAAGCTAATTTATATTTTCCATTTAGAGAGGGTTTTTTTCCAAACACTTTAAAAGAAAAGGGCAAATGGGATCAGGAAGCTGCCGTTAAGGCTCACATGGTTCAGCAAGCCCAGCTGCAGAGATGTCAAATCAAGTGCCATGGCTGCACCTCTTCTCAGACATACCCAAGTGTTGTTCTTAGTACTTACTACTCCCCCTATTAAATATTTTTAGATGTTTCCAATAAACTTCTGGATTTAACAGGGCGTCCTAGGGTACCGCAGGGTCTATTTGCATGGCCACATGAAGCTAGCTGTTGGTATTGCATTATGTTCTGCCAACACTTGTGATGGAAATGAAATCACAATGGTTATGGGATCAAGCCAACAATCATTCTTAATTGTCTCATCTCACTGATGTTGCTGTAGTTCGAGGCAGCTCATCTGGCTTGGGAATTCAACCAAAAAAAAGAGGAAACTATGAAATACAGCTGCAACCAATTTGGTCTTTGGTCTGGAAGAGCGATGTCTGAATTCATCTAATGTTGAGCTCTGCTTAGTTTCTGAAAGGTGGCTGATGTATCATTTGTCCCGCACTAGATCATAAGAAATAGTTTGTAATTTGAGAGAAGTAGAGCAGAAGAAGGTAACTTGCAGAGAGATGGTAAATTTCTTTCTTATATAGTAAAGAATAGAAATGTTGGCTTTTTGTGTTATCTAAGAGTTTCTCAAATAGGGATCCTAATAAGTTTCACTAAGAAATACAAAGCTCAGATGGGCAGCTACCCCATTTAAAACTTTGCTAAGACACAAGAGCAGTGTTTCAAACACTCATCTTTCTTTTTTTGTAGATGAATGCATTTTGGTTAAATTCATAAAATTTGAGTCACAGCTTTAAGCCAAATTCAGAATAAGATTGTTTAAACTGGAACTGTTATGCAGGAAAGGGGCAGAACATGCTTTCCATACTCTTTTCAATGTAAATTTTCTTCATTGCAGCATCAGAGCTCTGAGCCCCTGTTACCAGTCATTTGGAAGTGGGCAAGTAAAATTGTCACCAGCCTCTATTCCTTCCATTCTCAGAAGACTTTGATACATTAATTAACTGTCTTTTCCTGAACTGCTTTCCATCCACTGGCTTGAACCAAAATCACAAAAGGGCAAAGCCAGTCAAATGGGTAGGTCCAAATGAAGCAACAGTGTGAGTGTATTAAAAATACATGCATATTAGGGTGTGTCTGTTATACCCTGACAAGATCAAACTCTGAGGAATAAAGAAGGTCCCAAACCAAATAAGACATTAGATAATACTGTGTCTGTTTTGAAAGTGAGAATTGTTGGCCAAGAAAAGTTCATCGTAATGCAATATTTTGTTTGTTTTTAGTCATGGCTTCAGTAAGAAAATGCATTTGTCATGCAGTGATTTAAAAAAAAGTAAACCTCGCCATGTGATTGAGAACAGGATCAGCTACATAGTCATGTCTGAGAGCCCAGCAAAAGAAGGGGAGGGGAGAAGAGGAGAGAGAGAGAGGTTTGTCTTTCAGCTTAGTGCTGAAATAGGTCTATGCAGCTTATGGACTTTCTTGTCTGCTGGTATCTACGAAGGATTCTTAGCAGCTGTCAAAAGACATACAATCTAACCAGTCAACCATTTGTAACTAAATGCTGTGTAGCCATGAACTCTAGGGCATTACTCAACAGAATATTAATCTAGAAATATGGGTTATGTAGAAACCCAGGAAGAAAAGGGGGAAAGAGAATAATGGACATCATCATAAAAAACTAATAATGGTTAGCACTCATACAGTGCCTTTTATCGAGGCTCTCAAAGTGTTTTACAAAGCATTCATTAAAATATAACAAAAGTTGAAAAATGGCCAACACCTACTGTGATGAAACCAATCTCTGCTTGAAACTGAGAGAATCTGTGTGTACACACCTTGGCAACACCCCACCAGAATGCTGTAATGCGGAAGAGGAGGTGCTGAGAATTTGCCATTTTGAGCATTATTAAGCAGGCTTTAAAATAGTTTTGAATCACCTCAACCACACAACTGCTTCATTGTACAGGAGGATCTGGCCCAGTACCCCTTTGTTACTTTTCAATCCATTTTTAAACATTCTGTGTTGGTGTATAACCATTTCACTTCAAAATCCTATTGAAATCAGCACACATCAGTGTTCTAAAAGGGAAGGGAAAAGGATAGAAGAGTGGGATTTTGCATTGCCTTTGAACAGCTGCTAAACTAGAAAGCCCCTATGTTCAAAAATCAGCACCTTAGTTGCATACACAAAATATAAGCATGTATAAAAGTGAATGGTGCAGCTTGGTGTTCTTCAAATACCTACGGTAGAAAAGATAAATTGCACGTGTGAAATATGCTGTTGTGAACACTGTCGTACCTCGGTACCTTAGGTGGTCTGAACTGTCAGTGTCGTCTGGTCAGGGTCGTCCTGGCGCGCTGCTGACAGGACCTCTACTCCATCGGTGATGATAAACTTTCAGCTGCATCTGTAACAATCGGTATCTTTATCTAGAGTGTTAGACCCCGTGCACTTGGGTCAACACAGGAGATCTCTGAGAGGCCCCGGAAATGACCGATGCAGGCAAGGTTTGAAATCAGTCGAGCAGGTTTATTGTCAAATGTGAAGCTCTACCAGTTGGTAACAGAGATCAATCCAATGTTACACCACTGGGCACTATGGCCCGTGTTGACAAGGTACCGACACCAGGCAGGCCTATTGCCATATAACAGATATTAACAGCAGTTAGTCAAAGTTAAGCTACTGTGCATTCTGTTAAGTTTAGGCAATGACACCTGCCGTTCATGTGCCTAGTGTGCCGCCGCCCCCCTCCTTCTCCCCAAGACTGGCCGGAGAGCACCCTTTGTGGTGTCCTTTTATAGACAGGTACAAACAACTTACATTATTTCTTTACGTACTCGGTTGCCACCCTCTGTTGCCTAGATACCACCCCTCACCTTATGCAAGGGGGGCTCTTCTATTTGTCATCCTGTCAGTTCCGACCTGGTCCTGAACCTAGGTTGGTATGTGCCTAACTCCTAGGGAGTTCTTGTACCAGGACATTCCTTAAGATGTTCCGTTACTCCCTTTTGGCTTACAGTGTGTACTTAGTGCTTCCCTGTGACCTTCCATGCTTTAACTTACCCAGTTACAGTTATCAGTAGGGCCTCTTTCTTGGCTCCTGTGTTCCTGAACCAAAGTCTTGCTCGCTAGATTGCAGGCCTGTTGCTGTTTTCATGCTACAGGCCTCTATTTAGGCCTGCTGACTCCACGTTACTGACCCTCAACTTACTACAAACACAAAGTGGATAATATACCATTTGCATTCATTTTTAATGTGCAGTTACATCAGTATAAAGAGGTGTGTTTTCCATGCATATTTCAAGGCAAACTTTGAAAAATTTGTCTGACAACCAAACGTCAATTTGACAATCTTAGCTATTGTCATTTAACCAAGAAAGCCAGTCTCTTCCAGAAAGTGGAACAAGTCAGAGCTGATTAGCGTGTGTGTACAACAATCATCATTTTTATGATCAGGTCAGCCGTTCATGGAAGTGATTCACATTTTAAAATGAATCACTAATTGCAAAGCAGGTTGATGGATAAATTAACAAATAAATTACCCTTTAGACCAAAAGAAAAGAACTCTGAGCATTTAGTAATTTGTTTTTGTCTAAAGCTAATTATCATTGGCTTATGCTATGTCTAATAATTAACTTATACACAGAACATTAACTCACATTTATGTGTCTTCAGTAGCCTGTATTTTAATTCATGCTGTTTGTGGTTTGGTTCTCTCACTTTTATATTGCCTATCACCTATAAAGACCTTGATTTAATCTAAATCCTAATTTGAACCTTACAATCTTAATTTTTGTATAATAATTACTAAGTGCTTATGATAAAGATATAGCTTTCTGTGGTGGTCTGAGTTGCCTCTCGGGGTTAGAAGTGTGCGATCATTCCTATTAAAATGACAGTGGGGTAGTGTTACTACATCCTGCTTGGCAAACAAGAAATTTTTCTTATGGATTGGACTGTTTTTTACAGACTGTAGTGTTTCCCTGTCTATCTTCCTTTCAGCTATTTTTCCCAACAGACATTAACCTTAGGGGCTAATTCCTGCAAGGTATTGAGCTCTCAACTCCCACTGACGTGAATAGAAGTGGAAAGTGCTCATTACTGTACCAAACTACCCTCTTAGACCACAGGCGCCTCCTGCCCAGCTGGAGGTGCCCTCAAAGCTCTTTGCTTTCCCTCCCTCACTAAAGAACTCTATTCCCGCTGGCTTCTTCCTCACCCTAAAATCATCTGCCTCTGCTGAAACAGCAGCAAAATAAACCTCTACAAAATACTTCACTTAATGAGTACCCAAATGAGCGAACAGTTAATTCGTCAGAGGTTTCTGATTTGTTGTTTCTGTACCTATACTGCTGATGTTTTTCTTCTTGTTTAAAATGTACATATCTGAAAGTGACAAAATAATAATTACAAAAAACTGAAGATGGTTTTTCTCATGTTAAAACAGGTCTTTCTAAAGGTCATTTTTAGTTGGGTTAGCAAATTCATTAAAACAGAAAAGAAACATTTTAAAGTGTTTCATTGGGCGCCAATTTCATATTCCACCACTGTCCTTATCTCCATCTCCAATTCCTTGAATTTTAAGTGCAAAAACAGGGAAAGGAGACAACTTTTATAAATCTTGCTGTTGCAGGTAATATCCAATATAGTGCAAACATTTTTGAAGAAGCACACTTGACAAATAACAGTGAAAGCATGTACAGTGATATTCAAGGGGCCCTTTTGTCCAACAGTTCACTGCCATTCTAATTTAATCTGATTAATAGATTTCAAACGAAAACACACTTGACAACAGGAGAGTTTAGAGAGTGACACACAGACACAAATACACTGTTAATCTGGCAGTACATTTTCTAATGGTGAACAATGGTCTGGAAGGATCACAAGAACTTCAGTGACACTTCAGATACAGAAATGCACACTATACGCTACCACCACATAAATGGCAGTTGGGAGTACAATGCAGGAAGTCAGTTTGTTTTATGGAAAGCATACTCTGGTCCATGTAATAGTCTAGTTAAGCTGGAGAAAGTTTGTTGTCAAGTGTGTACCCTACTTACTGTTAGTACAGGACTGAAATGCATTCTATAGAATTGCTTATTCCTTCAGTAATATTTTTTTTCTTGTGGCTTTCCTTCAGGGAGGAAGATGAATATTCTGAACTACGATCAGAGCTCAGCCACAGCCAGCATGAGGCTAATGAAGATTCACGCAGCATGGACCAGGATCAGACTTCTGTTTCAGTGCCAGAGAACCAGTCCACTATGGTCACTGCTGACATGGGTTAGTGAGTTTCTGAATAGACAGGATGTCTCCTGCTAGTAGGAAGCCATTGTAGCCTTTAAATACTAATCAGAATGCCCAGAGACACAAGAATATAAATCATTCCAGATCTCCTTAATCAAACCAAAAGTGTTGAGAATTTCCAGGAGAATAAATTATAGCCTTTAAAAAAATCTCAGTACCTTGGTCCCAGGCCATCAGAACTAGAATAGCCATATAGAGAGAGAACAGAAAATGAGCTTGTCAGGAAGAACTGAAGAGCCTGACTGAGCGCCCTTTGGGGGGGAGGGGAAATTATGGAGGGGGGAAGCACACTCACCACCTTTAAAATAAGGTGTGTGTGTGTGTGTGTGTGTGTGTATACACACACACACACACACACACACACACACACACACACACACACACACACACACACACACACACACACACACACCAACTTGACCATATAGTTGACTGATTAGTTGGAAAGATTTTTTTAATCCCGTTCCTGATTTATTTTATCAAATACCAAAAGTATGTTATTTATAAATGAATGAAGGTTGTTTTAAATGCTGCTAGTTTATTTAACTATAAAATGTAAATGGTTGGAAATTGCAGAGGTGAAATAAAGGCATCTAGAGACATTCAGTAAGAGGCAGAGCCATGTGCTGTATACTTCTGTCGCCAGGCCATGACTTTTAAGACTTGTTGCTTTCAGAGAGCCGTTAATTTATATACAGGTAGCAAGTTTCTAAATGACACTTACCTATGCTGTGGAGTGTTAAGGATAACGATGTTAACCAGTTACCCAGTAAGCATTAGCTTTACTAGCATGCTTACCTGGCAATTGGTTAACTGAAGGCCGGGGGTGGGTGGATTGCAACCCCTGTTTCTCTGCAGCACAGTCAACAGGACCCACTCAACTGGAGCAGTTCCACTACCGAAAGAGGGCTGGGCTGTAGAGGACCCCCACCATGGGGGGGCCCCATGCTATCCAGATGCTGGTTAAACAATTAAAATTATAGGTGTATTTACAACCCTAGTTAAGGAAGGTTTTTTATGGCAAAGAGTCCAGTAATTTTATTATTTTTCAGTTGTGCTTAGGTTGGGGTTTTCAAACTTAAAAAGTAAAGTATAGTTAGTACTAGCTGTAGAAATCTGGTTCTAAGATCCCAGCAATAAAGATATCAGTATTGGGATAGCTAGAGAGATTACTGCATACTGGCTTGGAGCATCAGTGATGTTAATGGAGGGGAAACGTCTGTCTTACTGGGTCAGATTCTGTTCTCATTCACATTAGGGATATGAAAGACTAGTCGACTCGTCGCTTCCCCTCCCCCCGGTGCTGTCTCTTTCACATAGAAGCAGCAAGGGGGGGAAGAGAAGAAGGGGTACTTCAAAGCAGCAACTCTTGAATCCTAGGGCCAGACCCTGGGCTCCACACAGCACTGCCACTTTGAAAAGCCACGTGCAGCCTGGGGCCAGCTGGAGTGTTCCAAGGCTGCATGTGGCATTTCAAAGTGGCAGTGCCATGTGGAGCCAGGGATCTGCTCGGGACTGCAGTGCTGCCTCTTTGAAACACTGCAGGGAGCCCAAAGAGGCAGCACTGCGGGGAGCCTGGGATCAGCTGGGGAGTCCCCAGCTACCTATGAGCTTCATGCCGCCCTTTCACCTTTGAAGTGTAGCAACAGCTAGTGCTGTTGCTACACTTCAAAGGCGGAGGTGCCCTACCAACTATCAATCGAATAGTTGATGCAAAATGCATTGACTATTCAATTAGTCAATTACCCAATACTTAACATCCTTAATTCACATCAGTGTAAATCAGGGATATATCCTTGGCTGTAGTTTAGTTCCCCCTTCCTTCTATCATAGGTGTTTATTAGATGCTGGCTACCACAGTGTCCAGATGCCAGCATGCCTTGGTGAAAAAGTTGGACTAAATCCTAAGTCTGGTGTGATTTATCCAAGAAGAGACAAAGATGAAAATATCAGATGTTTTTTAATTATTTCCTTACACTCATACAGGGTCAAATTCTGTTTTCAGATAAATGTGCATCAGTCTCACTGACGTCATAGACATTCAGCTGATTTTTAATGTCAGTTGGATGTGTCCATCTGAAAATGCTTGTGTCCCGGTGTAGATTCAATTAATACTATACTTTTTGATTTCACTCTTTTTGTTTGCAATAGCTTATCTGCCACCCTCCAGTTATGCCCTTATCTCAGGCCAAAGATTCTGTTTCAGAGAGAGGCA